CATTAAAAACATAATTTAAAATCAACTGGGTTGCATTTTCCCCCATTTTAGGTTACTGCCATAGCCACTGAACTGTAAAACAAAATTGGGAATCAGTTTATGTAATCCAATCTGCATTGGAACATGTGTCTAGGTCTGTCTACATTTGTAGTCATCTGAAGGACATCTAACCTACTTTAAGAAAGAAAAGACTGTCATCCTCTGATGTCCAAGCCTTAATATGTGTATAACGAAAAGAGGTAAGCAGCTGACTAAGACATTCTGGATTTCACTTTGCTTGTGTACAAAAATGCTTATAGCCCTATACTAGCTTCACTGAAAAATCAGAAACTTACTTTAGGTGGTCTGAATTGCCTCGTTGCCAAGTCAGGTGCACTAGATTTCACTTTTAGTATCTTGATAATGTTGCATTCTATTTGGAATCAAAATATAAAGTAGTCTCACTTTTTTTTTTTATGCAAAATGACCATGACCTGACCCTTAAAAACAAATTTAAATATGCTAGCTTATTCACAATCATATTTGAATAACAAAATGGTACAAAAAGCAATTAACATGAATTAAAACATAAATTTTAAACAGCAAGTTCTTAAAAAAATTCTAATCAGACACCTACTGACTCAAGATCTAATCCTGCTGTCACTGAATTCAGGTCATATATTTTAATTTCTTCTATCTAGTTTGCTAGTTTCTTTTTCTTATAATAGCATATATGACTACAGCAGCTAAGTGTCAGTGAGGAAATAGTAACTATTCTAACAGCTGGCCAGTAATCCAATTTTTAGTGTCTCTACTTCTCTTAAGGCAGTTATAAAATATTTTTATTTATTGTGATTTCAACTCCATCTTATATCTTTCTTTTTTGTGTCTTCTGTTTTAAAACCTCTTCCATTCCTCAGTGCCATCTTCACTGATATTTGGGGAACTTAATATTTTAATTGAAAGGGTGTTCAATCTAGGTTTATTTTAGTCTGGTCAGATAAAGTTTTGGTCGTGTTGTTGGGAAAATGCTGCACCACATTGTTTTTATTCTCCCTGCTACAGTCACACTGACAGCTCCTACAGAAAACAGTTACAAATGCAAGTCATCTTTAAGAGGACAAACATACTCTATGAGATATGTCAGGTATTAGAGATCGACAGAGATTAACTTTGAAAGTGTCTGATAAGAGATGAGTGTTTCAGTAGTCATCACATTAAGAGATGTTCTGGGAGAAGATGGTGGTGATTTGATTTTATTTTTATAAATAAGGAGATGCCCACATTCTGAATTTGCTTAATTGTTTTACTGCTATGTTTACCGCAAATCCAAATATTACAAGATTTCAAGGGAATGCCAAAATGTGATGAACTATTCCTATGAGGATGGGATAGAAGGGTATCTTTTATTTTCCACTACTGAAAAAGATTATTAATTCTCAGTAAACACTCAAGTGGCAGTCTTATCTGCAAGAAAATTAAGAGAACAAGTAGTTCACTTGAAATCCCCAACTTTAAAGATATTCTATTACTAAATGTATAGGATTTAGTTGGTGAAAGATAACACCAGAGACATATACCAAAGAAGCTACAAAATATAAGAGAGAGATAGAAACAAATAAAGTTTTCAGGTTAGTTTAAGGATAAAACAAATAGACTGCTCAACCACAACAAATACATAAATTAAGACCACTGACACCTCAAAGTTTCTTGCTTATGAACATTGCCCTTTCCACAGAAAAATTTAGGTTCTCATAGCTGTTACCAAAAGTCAGTCTTAGTCCATTGTTTTAATTAATCTATGCTCGTTATGGAAGAATGGTAGACTTGCTATGAATGGATAGTCAAAAGAGAAGACATATCATTAGTAGAGGTTTTAGAGCAATTTGCAGGATACTGAGACTCTATCCTAGTGAAGTTCTTTGATATGTAACAATAACAATGACATCTCTAAATACAATCTTCAAATAAATACTTGAAGGCTTGCAAATCTGGTGCATAACAGAAAATATCATTCTCAATAACCAGCTGCTTTCTCATTTCTTAATAAATTAAGGGGTGTTACACAGAACATATGGCCTTATGATGATCTACACATTCTTCCAAGATTATGAAAAAATTCCTCTTGTTAGAAATGAGACATGTATTTACAGCAACTTATTTAAAACAATAAAAAAGTAGAAAGTGGATTTTGTTGTAGGAAAATGCACAACCTACTTGATCTTTCCCTTTCCTTACCTCTTCCTCTCTATATGTATACTGTATAGCTGTATAAAATAGATAGCGTGAAAACATATGCTGTGTTTAACTCTACTTCCTTAAGGTGAAACTATGTCATTTACTGGTATTTTATTGGATAGTTAAATACATAACTGAAAATTACATTAAATTTGAATTAAAAGTAAAAAGGTAAGAATTAATTACTGAATTAATTAAATACATAACTGAAAATTACATTGAATTTGAATTAAAGGTAAAAAGCAGAATTTGTACTAGGAATATTTAGTAATCATAAACATATATATTATGACTCCAGAAAATTAATTCTAGATGTTACACTTTAAAAAAAAGCCACCACCAAATGCACATCAAAATCTATAAACATGTGGATATTCCCCCACAGACAATCAGAAGTAACAAATGATCATATATCTCTCAAAAAAAAAAAAAGTAGTTCTGAAAAATAGACACAATAATATTTAAATTAAGAATTTAAACCTACCAATTAAGAAAGGAAGATGAAAATCAAAGGGAAGAGAAGGGTACAAAGAACTGCTGAGCTCCAAGATGAGAGGATATAACACATATTTTGCCTGTTTTTGTTTTGTTGTTAAAGGGATAAGTAAGCAGGTAATTTATTTCCTATCAACAGAGCAATGAATAGAAGTTGTAAGAAGTGATAATTTTCATTACAAACATATAACAGTATGTACCTGCCAAACCCATGTCTAAATTATTTTAAATGCTTTCTCTCAGTGATCACATCATGAGAGTTTAAAAATGAACTAGAATATGATTACAGTCTGGTCTGTTTAAGGTCTCAAATGGTTATGGAAAATGACCTTCATGATGCTCTCTATAGGATGCATATTTGGGTTGGATTAAGTGATGTGTTGAATGCCTGGTGTATTAAATTTTGATCTGGAAGGACAGATATTGAAATTTTAACAAAACCAACCAGCAATAGCCTTCAAAAGAACCTAGCAATTTATGCTACTGAACAATACTGACAAAAAAAAGTTAAGTGGATGTAATCAATATTTTTAAAAATGGGAACCACTGATATTTATCAATCTTTTCTTTACTAATAATAGTTTTATTAGGAATTGTTATGAAATAAGTATAAAACCTCAGAGTACAGAGAGGTCGAAGAAATACTAATTCAAAATAACACTGCTATTTTTAATTATCCTGAAAAGATGTCATCTTCAGCATGCCACATACTTAGAAAAACAAACAAAAAATATTGAGTTATGTAAGGGGTTATGTAAAAGATAAAATTTAAAAAAATTATAGCAAATCTGTTGTCATTACATTCTGATGGTGTACACAGCAATTTATATGTCCACTATCAGATCATGAAAGTGACCAAATTTTAAATTGCCCCCCAAAATTTCAAGTGTCCAGCACTCATCATGTTTTCAAAGCAATTTATAATAAGAGTAAGTAGCTTAAAGATTAATGCATAATTCAAATGCTCCTGCTGACTTAGTCACTGCTTACATCACAGATTTAATGCTTTTGTAGCTAAGGACATAAATAGTGGTGCATCCCGGTAAATATAATTTGGCCATTAGTAGTAGAAGGTTGTAGACCTTGCACTGACCTGGCTCTGTAGGGTCTCAACACTTGTCTCAGCATGTCCTGTTGGCTGGTTTCAATTCATTGTTACAGCCAGCACACTTCAGAGAGCAATTAATCTCAGCCCAGAGCAGACATTTACATTTGACCAGCCAATTCTTTGTTGCTTTAATTATATTATTACAGATTTCTCCCACGTACTGTAGATGTGTCCCACAGCTCCTTTTCTGATTTGGCAGCTTGCCTGTGCCAATTGTCCTTGTGACAGTGTAACATAGATGGTGCTGGGAGACAGAAACCATCTGAATCCTTCCTTGGCATTTCCTGATGAAAGAATAGGTAGAAACTGTAGACAGTATGAACTTAGTCTGAGCTCAGTTTACCTAAAAATACAATACAATTACACATAAAGCCAGGTCTTCTTGGCTTTTAGGCTCTCAGGATTTGCCTAGGCAAATGGAGATATGAAGAAACAGGAACACTTGCCTCAGCATAGAGCTTTCATATATCTTTAAAAAGATCTTAAGATTTTTTGTTTTATTTTACATGCACCTTTCCACACATTTTTATGCTCTTCAAATGTTTATGTTCTGAAAAACAGAAAAGAGTAATTTGTAATATTTCATGTCTATAAGTTAATTACCCAAAAAGGGAGAAAAAATATGAAAAGAAAAAAATCTACAATAGTTCAAAAGAAGCATAAAATATAAGAACAAAAAATATAAGGTTGATACAAATTTCATAAACATATTTAGAGAGTTATAAATAAATTTTACCTGTACAATAATGGTGTTGGATATCCCACTAACAGTACTACATATTCAAATATTTACTTGTTATGCTTGTTAATGTTGCTTATTTTATAAGGTATAACCCTGAGCTCACTAAAAAAATAAAGAACCAGACCTCAATACAAAAGTCAGGTACAAATGTACCTTATTATTCATAAAATAAATGAATCTAACTCTAAAAAGTTAGGAAATATATCTATAGAATAAATCCATTAAACATTTACAAAGGCATAGTTCTAGTGAATAAGGGTCTCCAGACATATAAATCTATGGGTCAGGTCTTTTAATTTGTCATAGCTCTGCTGAAGTTGGTGGAGTAATATTTTTCATTGGATGAAAATGCATTTTAAAAATATTTTTATTCTCTGTTATCCTATTATTTTCTTGTTGTTGCACAGAATCACAGAATATGCTGAGTTGGAAGGGACCCACAAGGATCATTGAGTCCAACCCTTATCCTGCAGAGGACCATCCCTGAGCATCACACCATGTGCCTGACTGTGTCGTCCAAAAGCTTCTTGAACTCTGTCAGGCTTGGTGCTGTGGCCATTTCTTTGAGGAGCCTGTTCCAGTGCCCAATCACCCTCTGGGTAAAGAACCTTTCTCTTATATCCAACCTAAACATCCCTTGACAACTTCGGTCCATTCCTTTGGGTCCTGTTGCAATCTTATCTAAAATTGTTATATTTATTAGTAATGTTATAGAATTACTTTGTGTGCAGTCTGAATTTTGTTCAGCTATTTGCCATACAATACCTTCCAACGACAGCTATGTTTTTTAATCTATACAGTGAATTTTAGCTATGTGGTTCCCATTAAAGTTAATAGGTAATGCACTACTGAAATACTTGTTTGCCATTTTGAAAATTTATGAACAAGAAACAAAATTAAAAAGTTCAGTGGCTGCAAAAAGAGTATTTGTCATTAAACTTGTTTAGTATTAAGTAGCTCAGCTTGCTGAGCTGCAATGTATATGCTTCACTGGACACTATAGTTTTTAAGTCTGCGCTGCTGGTTATTTCTAAAACCATCTTCCACCAATTCATGGGTTCTAGGATAATATGGAATGGACCTCAAAGTGCACAGTTATTTTCAAATTAGGAAGGAAAATACTGAGAAAGAGAAGGTTACATCACTAAAAATCTAAAAAAAACCCCAATAAAAAATTCCATGCGTGTTCTAAGTATTGCTTTTAATCTCCAGTCATAAACAAGTCTGAGCCTACCTTCCAGTACACAATGTATTTTTGTTTAATTATCTGAAATTCAAGAATGAGAAATATAGAGTAATGAAAAATGAAAGAAAATCTCAAATATACAAACGTTTTATTTGTCTTTTTTTTTCCCTTGAATGTCATAATTACTAAAAGAGACAGCATGCTTTTACTGAACACTATTTGAAAACACTGCTTGGCAAAGAAAGTAATCAAAGAAGGATCTTCTTCATTTTATGAATATAAGACATGAAGGCAAAAGAAGCAAATCCTGAAGCCATTACAAGAGTCAAGTTAGAAGCATTAGGCTACAAAACACTCATACATTATTAAGTATCTCAGCTGTGGCATTAGAGTTCTTAATTTTCCTTTCCACTGAAATAAAAATTTTATTTGTTAATTATTAAATGGGACAATTAAGGGGAAAAAAATTATGTTCAAACATTTGTGAATATAGGAAGTTTTGAGAAAATGAAAAGTCAGCTATTCACCAAATACCTTGCTATCTTGGAGTGATCTCTAGGGTATCCCAGTACTTCAGAGGTCTTGCTTATGTATACCACATGCTTAGGGTCTTGATTTTGTACTATATTAAGAGGTATTTAGGGGTTGGATATGTAAGAAAGAATGTTAAGAGACCAAAAGGGGAAGGCAGATGTGTGATAACCTGCACATTTACAGTACGAAGGAGAGATAGTGGAGTGAGTCTCAAGACAATATAATTTCTTTACTTTGAGACATTACCATATACAAGCCCTTTTCATGATTTGCATTCGTGTCATGGGTTGTCGTAAATAACATCTTGGCCACCTGTCTGTTTGGCACTCATGAGCAATGACAACACTTCTGTTTGTAGTGTAAAAGAAGGACCACGACAGCTGGTCTACCACCAAGTGTCTTGCTGCTTTATTGACACCACTCCTATTTTGCTAGTTTGCATTTTTAGTTAGGTAATTTTGTCAATACATTAGTGATGGCTTACTTAACAATGTTCGTTCAACACTGAAACCTTTTTCATTTTGGCAAGATAACTCTGAGTCCTCAGTTGAGATGGGGCCTTTAGTGCCTCCCTGCTCCAACCAACACATATCCACCCTGGGCTTCCCTCACCTCGCCTATGACCCAGGACCCCATGTTAGTCCCTCAAGGCCATCAGCTTCTACCCCAGTGACACTATAGCAGGACCAGTTTCCAGCTCCCCACAGCCCTGCCCTGCCTGGTCACAGGCTCCACTAAGCAAAAAACACCCCTGGGCCCATGGTCACTCTCCATTCCCAGGAGACATTCAGTGCTGGGACTGTCCCTGGTGCTCCCTGGCTGACCTGGTCCTGTCAACCAAATGACCAGTGCAGCATACTGGCAATATTCACCTTGAAATTGTCCAGATTTGTGTATGGGTTATCTTGGAATATTATAAAGCAATGAACTATCACTCACAGTTTTGGTACATTTAATTTAATTTAGGAAATTATTCCTGAGTGAATCATCCTCTGGGTGCACATGTGCTTCTATAGAATAGTCAGCCAAAGTGGGTCAGTTATTGAGATATAGACAGGAATGTTTCTTTTTTCTTGTCTTCTTTGAAACCATTATGGACATGGAGGCTGATCCAAATACACTTAGGGCCTATGGTATTAGATAGGATCTCTGTATATCACTGTCATGGTTTAACCCCAGCCATCAACCAAGTCCAATGCAGCTGCTCATTCACTCCTCCACCAACAGGATCAGGAAGAGAATTAGAAGGGTAAAAGCTGGAAAACTTGTGGGTTGAGATAAAGACAGTTTAATAGGGAAATCAAAAGCTGCACACACAGGCAAAGCAAAATAAGGAATTAATTTACTGCATCCCTTGAGCAGGAGGGTGTTCATCCATCTCCAGGAGAGCAAAGCTCCATCAAGCGTGACTGGGGAAGATAAACAACATAACTCTAAATGTCCCCCACTTCCTTCTTCTTCTCCCCACTTTATAAACTGAGCATGATGTTATATGGTATGGAATATCCCTTTGGTTCACTGGAGTCAGTTGTCCCGGCTCTGTCTCCTCCCGACTTTTCATGTATCCCCACTCTCCTCATCAGTGTGACAGTACTAAGAGCAGAAAAGGCCTTGGCTCTGTGTAAACATTGCTCAGCCATAACAGAAACATCTCTATATTATCAACCCTGTGTTCAGCCCAAACCCAAAACACAGCCCCATGCTTGCCACTCTGAAGAAAATTACTTCTACCCCAACCAAAACCAGCACAATCACACAAAAAACTACCTTACAGAACACCTGTAACTCTATGGGTGCTGTTGTGAATCAAAATGAACAAAAACTGTCGAGGAATGATAAGAAAGTCATGAGGAGTTTTCAATGTCACGTATTTCCAGTAATAAATATCTCTCTCTGGCTTTCCTGAGTCTTCAAGTTTGAAAGGAGTTCCAAGTAAAAGGCATGTGTCACATGGCAAGAACTCCGTAACAGAGTGAAACCCTAATAATTGTCATTGGTTTGGCTTTGTTTACTGCTTGCTCAGTGGTACCAACCTCTGTACAAACTTCTATGAACACAAATATATTCCTGTTGTTTTGGTAGTCTGGAAAAAACTGAGAGAGAGTATTCCACCTTTTCTGTTCTGTGTGTAAGAAAGACATGCAGTGATCCAGGGGATACCGTGCAGTGTAGATGCTGTGCAGCATGTGGGGAAGTAGCCTGCTTCTGTATTTTAAGTGTGTTACATAGACAATAAAAGAGCCTTATCTATATCTATGGGATAATATGAATAAACTCAATAGGCAGCACTTAGTAAAAATATATCATTGTAAATATAATGCAATATCCTAAGGTAATTGCATAAATGTGAGTCACCTAATACAATTATAATGTTATAACAAACCATTTCAGAGGCAAAAAATCTTTATGCGTGATTAAATAACAAACTTTGCCTGAGCATGCTGAGGATTTTTTTAAATTGCATCCATCCTTTTATTTCAGTTTCTTCTTCAAATAAAAGATGAGTTCTATATAACTTTATCTTCAGTTTTTAATTGTATAGGTAGTGTTAACATTTTATCTAAAGGAAAAGACAGAACTGAGACCACTAATGGATAAAAAATTCTTTCCTTCTTCAAAGACAAAGAACAATATACTTTTAAGTTTAGTGATGTAACTTTCAGTAACATAATACCTCATTATTCATGACATTTTGTCCATTATAGCATGAGATTCCTCAAAATATAGAAATAATAATCCAGCAGAAAAGTCTAGCTAATTATCCATTGTCTGAGAAATTGAGCTGGTGTAATGGATGAAACATCAGTTACAGCAATTGGTGGTGTCTACTGGCAGAAGAAATGTGTCTTTGAAATTACTGTACCAGAAACCTCAGAAATCTAAGTCTTCCTTGCCTGCCTTCTAGATGTGTAGAAAAGCTTGTTTGCAGAAGAAAATTATATATATACACAGATATATATAAAAAAATAAATGCCTAAAATGTATGTTACATTAACATTACCTTTGTAGAACGTACTATCTACTGACTTATTATTGTTTTTACAAAGCAATTATGTAATTCTATTAGAGCTTAGGGGTAGAAATAAAAGGAACATATTGAGAGTAGAAATACATGTTTTTACAAATTCGACTTTAGTCTATTTTTTAAAATATATATTATTTAGAATGTATTCTATTTTTGTTTGAAATACACAAAATACTTTAATTGCATATTAGAGTTAACAAAAGGACAACATAATATGAAACGCTTTAACACCTAAGCATGACTACTTAGAAACTTTTCCAGTCATAGGTAGCTAAAAACTTTGTCAATTAAAATTAACAAGTAACTAGCAGGGAAATTTAGACATCTGGGATTCTGCAACAAGAAGCTTTGACAATTATACTGGGAACTTCTAGGACAACTGAAAGGAAAATAAGAAGGACAAAAAAACTGACTAGAAAGTAAGGGAAGTGATGGAAAGGAACCATGTGCACAAAATTTAGAAGTGGAAAATAACAGCTTTAGATGGGGACAAAGTGCCAGAGTCAGTGTATTCATGTGAAAAGATAGAAGATAAGATTAGACATTTTTATAAAACTGATTTTGATTTAATTTGAGAAATAAGACCTGAGGAGAAAGAGAGATATCCTACATTAAATGTTAATAGATTCTACTGTAAGAAAGTTGGGCCTGAGTTCTGCCTTCAGATAAACTACAGTGAGAAGTGTATGTAGTATATAGGCAGGATTTGGCCCTTTTTCTTTGCCATTTTAAGGTGATTGAAAATAAAGAGAGGTCAGAATAAAAGAAGGTTGGACCAGATGATCATTGAGGTCCCTTCCAATCTGGTGTTCTGTGACTCTGTGATGAGATAGCTGGAGGATTATAGGCCAAGTCTCTTTTCTCTGTAGTCTGTTCTAACTCTCTTTAATTTATTTTGAGCTGTGCTTCATTTGCTATCTCTGGAAGGGTTGTAAGCTGGCATTCTCATAGGAGCTGGAAAGGAAAATATGTCCTTAGGTAATAATCAAAGATTTTCTGATGGAATGGTGACAAAAAATATTTGAACTGAATCAGTTTTTTGTGTGCCTGCCTCATATTGTGTCTTTTTAGAGGTCAAAACTGGATAACAAATTTTATCAAAATATTATTTAGCTAAAACTATTTGTAACACTGGCTTTTCTGTTTACAAGTATTATCATCTACACAGGGAAAAAAGAAAGAAAAACAAAAAACCAAGAAAACTCAAACACAGAATCACCTGCAAAATAGAAGTATTACATATGAAAATATTTTTTTTTGTTTGTTTTGAGAGTGTTCAAGGCAGTTGTACTTGTGAGGTTCCGTTGGTTTAGACCTCTGCTCAGTTCACAAATTGGAGAGCACCCTTATGAGAAACTGTCCCCTCTTGTCTGAAACAAAAGTCATGACTAACTGAAAGATATACATACTGAACAGTGAGTGACAGCATGAAGATTCAGCACAGTAGGAACCAAGTATCAATGTCTAGAAAAATAAAAATATGTGTTTGAATCTAATCTAAAAGCTAAATATTTTACCATGTGATTTCTTGGATCCATTCTAGAGGCAATATTGTTTAGGAAAAACTGTCTAAATCCTATATAATCGCCTCATAGTCATTGGAGTGTTCTCTTATGGCAGAAAGTTTTACAAGAAACATTGTTTTGTTCACATTTTATTGTACTCTTACAAGTTAGGAAAATGAAGCACATGAATAAACGAATTGACATCTTCAGGAAATAAACTAGCTTATACATAGGAGTACTGAGGTGAGAATAAGATAGGTACACTGTACAGTGAACCTCCAGGGAGAGGAAAAAGAAACAAAAATGAAAACTTGTATGAAGATATAAATTAGATTACAAGATTGTGCCTATGGATTATTTGGTATCAGCCTATTTCAACAACCTTGGTATTAATTGGGAAGTCTTTGTGGTATGTTTTAGAATGGAGACAAAGTTGAAAGGTTTATGATTTAGTAAATGATTGCTTTCCTAAACTACTGTGTTGACAGCCCCCAACATGGAATAGTTTTTGCCTAATCTATATTGAATTTTAACCAATGACTAAGGCAACAGTGATGAATTATTGAAATAACAGAAGACAATAAAGTCAAATATCAACAGTCCACAACTCTCTTGCGTTGCTGCATCTTGAGAATAGTGTTACTGTATACAGAAATGGTAGGTACACAAAGAAATAGTAAAAATGGATAAGAAGGCAATAGTAAAGAATAGTGTAAATAGTAGTCCAGAGCCATAAATGCTATGATCAAAGGCACAGTAAATTGTAATATAATATGGATTACTAGCTAATATTTTGAAACAAATAAAACATTATTGTGATAGTTCAATCTACCTATAATCCATTTATTTAAAAGGGCTGTGACATATATACAATTCTAAAATGTATTTGATGTACATGAAGTCTTAAATGGTGTAGATAGTGTCATCCTTAGTTACTGTTTTCCATCTACCATGAACAATAGTACAAGGAGGCATAAATGGATATGTTATCTACAAAAAATGAATTGACCTGTTGTGTTCCTCACACAGGTCTATAGTGGTATAAAAATCCCACTCTTGCAATAGAAATATCATGGTCCATGTACCTAATCTGATATCATTAACTGTGTTGGTGAAAAAAGAAATTTCTTACTCTGAAGTTTTTTGTGATCTTCCTGAAAGATAAAAGACTACAGAAACTTTAGAATATTTACTGTCATACTGAGTGGTTACAAGAGTCCTGAAACTGAAGGCTATGATATGGAAAAGTGTGTTGAATTTCATGATTTAGAAAACAGTTTAAGCAAATGAAGAAAAAGATTTGGTAACTAGATTAAAACAAAATAGGGTTTTCCTTTTGACACTCATGCTTGTACAGGGCACTTTATTGCCTGGACTTCCCACAGATCTTTTGAGAATTTAAAACACTAAATTATTTTTTTCTCTCACCAATGTATCTTTCTTAGCACTAGAGCACCTAAATAGTGAAATTTTTCAAGAGTATTTTAATGAACATTTCATTAAGCAAAAATACTGTTTTCTAAACAAAATCTTTTCAATGAAAAATCATCTGCAAACTGTAATATTTACAAGATGGAATGCCTTCTCAAAAATGGAGATATTTGAGCAATGTTCCCCTCCAATAACAATAATAATAACCCAAATAATAATAACGCTATAACAACAACAGCTACAGAGGCAAGCTACAGATGCCTGAGACACTTTCACTGTTGAAGATGGTATATTGTTCTAGACAATCTAGTGGAAGGCACCTACATTTAGGTACAGTGAGGTTTTCTTGTCTCACATCCCAAGGGAAATTTCTAAACAAAGGCATATAAAACAACATTCCAAAGAACCTAAACTCTTAAGGAAGTAAAAACCTAGTTTTCTTGTAAATCCTACTAATATCTTTGAAGCTTTGGACTGTCCTTACTATGGTGAATATAAATTATTCAATCTTAGAAGAAATGTCAAAACTAGACTGAAACAACCCAGTTTCTAACTGATTGGAAATGTATTTGTGCTGACAATACCTTTTAAATGTATGAAAAGGAAATAATCTTTTAAATAGAATGTAGGACCTGCTATTGTTAAGTAAAAGATTAGAAAAAGGGTTGACCACAGACATAAAATTTTTGCTATTGCTGTCTTGTCCTATAAGGTAGACATTTATTTAATGAAAAAATTGCTACCATATTAAAGAAAAAAACAACGGATCCCATGTATCAGTTATCAAATGGTTTATAGGTTACCTTTTACTATAAAACAATTCAGAAACTAATCTTGATGATGCAGTCAGACTTGCTTCACAAGATTGTTTTCAAGTGATTTTTTTTTTTTCAGTTCTACTAACTGAAAAGAAATGTAAGATATACAATCAGGTAGGAGAAGGCATTTTTCATACCAACACAAGTATTACATTTACATTTTTTATTCTTGTAACTTTAAGGAATGTTACTTTCAATTTCTTATCTTATGCCTCTGAATATTTACAATTTATTAAATTATGCAGAATTTTAAACTTCATTTCATACATTTTATTTAATCTTTATAAGACATATTTATTTTCCTTGTACAGATGTGAATTGAAAATATCTTAAAAGGCCAAAAATTAATAATCTGAATAATTCACTTTTTTTTTTGACAGATTCAATAAAACACGAGACAAAAGCATTTCTAAATCACTGTTTTTCATATATTGTGCCAATTACCATTTCAGATAAAAAAATGCTTATGTGTTAACTGTAATGAAATTATATATTGTTAATATTCATTAATATTCTAACCATTTTCCCGTAAGAAATACTTAGTAATCTAAAAAAGAGCATATGTTTGTACAAATTATATTCTCCCTTAAGATTTTGTAAGAAGTTCATCATAATAAGTAATTAGCTGGTACTTCTTTAGCTTAAACTTTTAGATTAATCATAGAAAGGTTTTGTGCATAACCTTCTTGCTAAGAACACACTTTAATGTGACAGGTTTATCTTCAATTAGTTTTTTTAAAGAGTCTTCTTTGTACTATTTGTCATGTTTTGGTTTAGTACAAAGGCAGGGTATTCTTTTTACATATATATTGATGTAAAAGATATTCTATTGAGCATACTGCTTTTAGTTAATAATTAGTGTGATAACATATTTTTTTTCTTTTTACTGTTTGGCTTCTTTTGTATGCACAGTTTGGCTTTTGATGATCAAGATGACAAAATAATCACACAAACACTGTAACTAAAAGGTAAGCCCTGTGCTGCACTTTGAAGAAACATATCTTTTGCAGTTTTATCTCATTATTTGTAGATGTCAATTAACCCTATTTAATATATTTTCCTACAAATAGTTTGCATGTTTGAATGGTTCCATGCCTTTAGGGTGAGACAGAAAAAAATGTCTGACTATAAATTCCAGTCTTCTGTACTTTTATTTGACATTATCAAAATGTACCACAGAAGCAAAATGTCATGTTATGTCATAATGTAAAATGACAAGCTCTGTACAAACACATGAACAGCAAATCTTTTATCTGGTATTAGTGAAATAAGTAGCAAAGGTATAAATGTCTTCATTTACAAAGGATCTGGATACTATAACTAAAGACAAGTGAAATCCTTTTAAAGAGAAGCTTTTAAATGACTAGTTGTGTATAAAGTAACATGAGACAGAATGGGAATGCTCTTTGGAATAAAATAAATGGTGTCACCATTTAAGCAATTGCTCCTTCATGTTGTCTGAGCATTCCCACCTGGCTGTGTAGTATGAAGCATAGGGTATTTCTGGTGTGTCCAATGTGCAAAGGAGAGCTTTCCAGTGGCAGGGTGTAATTTATCAAATAGCGGATCACTATGAGAATGTGATGACCACTGCAAGTTGGTTACTGGTAAATTCTCAAGATAACATTGCTGTTTGTGAATAAGCTTTTCCAGTTGTCTCCTGAAGACAGATCTGCATTTGATGCAATACAGAGAATGAAATGAAGTATTGCAGTACAGAAAGAAGTCGGTTATGAGTCTATATAGTCTCATAGAGGTTAGAGTAAAACTAGCAAGGATTGAAGTAACATTATCACTTAGAAATTAAGATATTCCCCAGGACAAGACAGTACAAGAACTCAGATAAAGTTGATCTTCATCCAGATGAATATACCCTGTATGAACACAGATTTATATGGATTTTGGAAGTATAAAGAAGGTAAATTAAACAAAGAAATAGACATTACCAAGAATTATATTTTAACTGTTAATTTTTATATGCATAGTCATAATATGTTGCGCTTGGTAATAAAAGCAATTAGTGTGGTATTTGTTACTTCAACATCTCTCTCTCAGAAGCCTAAATCTTAACTCATTGTTTTAGCTCCACCAATAAAGAATGCAGAGATAAAATAGCTGTCAGAGCAAAAGTTACCTCAGCTATCTCAGATACTTATCTTAGGTTACAATGATAAATTATTTTATGGGCGTTTCTTTTTCCTCCCACTGATTATGAAGAGAACTCAGGCCAGATAATTCATCCCCTATGACACTTCTCTGATGACAGCATGAATCACCCTCCTAGTTCTTGTTTTCCTCTGTCCACTACAGAAAGGAAGTTAGATAATTATTTCATGTGAATTAAAGGGGAAGAATATAGTCCTACATTCTCAACTGTTGCTGAGTTCAGCTCTGAGTATACTAGATGATATACTGATTATCTTTTACTTTTTTTGCCTGTTTTTCTTTCTGTTCACAGAATAAAAACTGCAGAATTACTCTTTCTTTTCTAAGAAGGTATCTAACTTAATTTCTAGTGTTGGAGATTTACACTGAGGTTTTACCTAAAATTTTTTTCAGAAACTGATAAAGTAGAAATAAATCCATAAAACTAACCTTATTTCCATTTTGGTTTTGTGAGGGTTAGAGGTAATTTTTGTCATATTATGGAGCTAAGTTTTGGACCTAGGCTGAAAATAGGATTGATAAATCAAGGGATGTTGTTCTCAGCTATTGCTGAGAAGTGCTTACTCAGCATCAAGGCTTTTTCTATTTTTCTATTTTTCTATTTTTCACATTGCCCCACCAGTAAGGAGTAGGTCAAGAGATAGGTAGGGGCACAACTGGGACAGTTCACCACAAATGATATACATTGGCATTTGATGTTGTGGTCAACAACAAAACCTGGGGAAAGAGGGAGAAAGGGAGGATATTCAGATTTATGACATTTGTCTTAAGTCACTGTTACATGTGACGGTGCCCTCTCTGTTCCTAGAGATGGCTGAACATCTGCTTGGCTATGGGAAGTGGTGACTGAAATCCTCATCTTCCTTTGGTTGCACAGATGGCTTTCCTTCATTTATTAAACCATTTTTATTTTTACACAAAATGAAGTGCCTTTGCACTTCCAATTATCTTTACCATCTTATCACAGGGATCTGAGTGAGCAGCTATGTGGGGCTTAGCTGCCTACTAGGGTTAAGCCACAACCACCTCTGAATTCTTATGCATAACCCGTTTTTCAATTATTTGTGTGGTGGAAATCCTTTTAAAATTCAGATTACCTGTTGAAAATATATTTGCATCTACAAGCATATTTAGTATTTCTTTATTATCATTGCATACACCATAGGGATAAAGTGACTTAAGCATTCAGTGGAAATATTTAGCCCTTTTTATAACATTACTATACTAAAAATAGATCTCCTTGTCGGAAAAAAAGAAAAAAAGAAAGTTTGATTTAACTTCATCTTTACCCTTGCATCCCTCTTTAGAAATCTACATATTCATTACAAGAATTTATTCCAGTTCTTTAGATGTGCACAGAAGCACAGGTGCACATGGGCACACACATAAACCAATTACAGCTCTATAAGATTAATTTTTGAATTAAGTTGGAAGCTTTATTGGAACAGCTGAACTAGTTGCTTACCAAGGAAATTTTCCACAGTTACAGAGCTGGTACTTAAGTATCAATTCCATTAATGACATAGGGCAGTCAGGCAGTGAAGGAAAAATGTAGTGGTATGTCACTTGGAATTCTGTACAAGTGAATGATCATTGTGATCAGATACATACAAAGGTCAACTTGAGTTCTGCAACAATATTCTAAGACTTTGACATAGCTTGATCAATCTCATCTAATACAATCCATCTGGGCCCATTAGCTTCACTTTAGGTGCTGGCTTTGTTTCTTTTCATCAGTGGATTTACACTACTGCATTATTATTTGCTTGGGGATTTTTGTCTGGGGTTTTTATTTGTTTGATTGGGTTTTTTTCCACAGAGTTCAGATATTCAACACATTAACTAATGAACTAAATATATGGATCATATGAGCTTTCTCTGTGAGGACAGTGTGTCAAATGAGCTTTCCAGTGGTGTCGTGTATCAGAAAGACAAAGTCTGAATAAGAGTTACAGAATTTACAGCAGTGTGGTAACGCTATTTATTAAATATAAATTTTACACTAAAAGACAGTGAAAAACTTGGATGACAAATACCATACATTCTCCACCTAGAAAGGGTATCAAAAGTAATCCAGAGAAAGAATTAAGTGCCTGCAAGTCTGTTTGAAGCTATGAAAATACAGAAAATTAAGGAAAAATATTAATTCTTTTTTGGAATTGTATTTCTGGCCTGAGCAAAACCTCAAAATCTCTATGAAAACTCTTTGATAATATTTATTTTGTAGCCTGAAGCCAAATTTCTAGCCTTTTTAACTAGTAGTTCAAGTAAATTTTCCATATTAAGTTCTTGTTTTCTGATTGTCTTAAGAAACTTCTGATCATAAATAGTGATATTAAATTTGTTTTCTGATCATGATAATTTACCATTACTTTGCTGTCAGAAGAAAACAATGATATAGTCTTTTTGACCATGGTGGTTTTTTTTTTTTCCTTTTCATTTTATACACTACTGTTCTTCAATAAAAATTTTATCCTGTGTAGATAGATGAAACCATAAGGGCAGATCTCAGTCTTAAACTAACATAGTGACATACTTCAAATGTTGTACGAGCTTAGAGCTGAAATCGTAGACAGGAATAATTTTCTTTTTTGCATGTATGTACACTGAAATTTGAATTGAACTCAGGTGATATCTAGAATTTGGTAGTAAACAAAGGTTGCATAGTGTAGAAGTAAATTTTTTTTTTTTTTTTTTTTTTGTACTTTGAGGACCTAAAATATATCATAAAAGAGTTAGGGTTAATTTTTCTCCACAGTCTCCATTTCTCAGCTGTGCATGCTCAGTATATGTGATAACTACTCCTTTTCTAAAGATTCATTCTATTTCCCTGGTATCTGTTTAGGTTTAATAACACCTGCTAACAGAAATTTTTTTACTAGAAGAGTGGTCAAACATTGGAATAAGTTGCCCAGGAAGGTGGTGAAGTTGCTATCTCTGAAAGTGTTCAAGAGGTGTCTAGATGTGGCACTTGGGGATATGGTTTAGGGAGGAGTATGGTGGTGCTGGGTTGATGCTGGGACTAGATGATTTTGGAAGTCACTTCCAACTTTGATAACTCTGTGATTCTGTGAGAAAAGAGTTTGAAGAGTTATTCTCTTCAAAAATAAGAAAAAAAGTAATTTGTTTCTGTAAGAAAGGAGCATTTTTCTCTGTCCTGAACACTTACAGGTTTTGGGAAAAGGAGGAGCTTGTATTACAGCACTCCCAAAGTATGACAAAATTTCACTCCAGGATTGTAAGAAACATAGAGTAGAGATGAAAATCTAAGGCAGAAAAGTCTTAAATGAGAAATACAAAGAACTGATAAATGTGCAGAGTTGACTGGAAAGTTGGGTGTCAGAAAGCAAAATAACAAGACAGATGTATTGATTTTGGTATTTGTGTGGAAATTACTAGATAAAGGACTGAGATCTTGGGGGAAAGCTGCTGTGAAGGTACAACATCCACTTTTTTTTCATATCTGTTCAAGCACTGCAGATACACACTCTTTCCTGAAACAGAATGTTATTTATATGTGTGTGTCTGTGCCTGTGTCTGTGTCTGTGTGTGTGTCTGTGTTTTTGTTACTAACACCTTTCCATACTTAATCCTTTTTTTTTTTCTGGAAGATGCCAACCACAGTTCTACTTTGAGAACTTACAAGTACTTATTCCTAAAATCTGCAACACTTAATCTGCATAGAAGTTTTTAAAGTTTAGTAAAGTGAGATGGTACTTTACGGAAAAACAAGGGGAAAAGGAAGATTAAGCTAATATATTGATATAGAATAGAAACTTCTTATTAACATTCTTTTTTACAA